ACCTCCTGCCATAGAGCCCTACCCACTTCAGAGTACCCAACCTCCTGCCATAGAGCCCCACCTCGCTCAGAGTACCCAACCTCCTGCCATAGAGCCCTACCCACTTCAGAGTACCCCGCCTCTTTCTACTGGATTACAGCTAGTGATTGTCGTCAATGACGTCAGGGATTATAAAAATATGACAGACTGTCGGGGCCCAAATTCTGCGGCTAACGAGCGGTTACAAGTCAGCCACAGCTCCCAGGCAGAGTACAGGCACGACACTAAGACAGAGGAAATGCAGGCCCGTGTCCCCCTCATTTAGAGAACGTACAAACCGTTACATAAGACAGGTCCGTGTCCGATGGCCCCATTTGTACTGAACGCTGACAAGTGCCATCCCACGACATCCACGGCCGCGGTTAGTTATTAAACCGGAGACGGTGACGGTGGACAGAAAGGTGTCGGGGGCAGCAGTCGCATGGCAGTAAAAACCCTTGGGTGTGCACTGCCCTCTAGTGGAGCTTCTGAAAACAGCAGCTTCTGACAGCTCACGATCTCACATAGATTATGCCGCCCACCTGCCCCAACACGCATATATTGTTATAATACACCATTAACCATATGCCTAAGCATACCGTGATCTTCACTGCATGAGAACAGTAGGGTGAAAATAAACTTGAACCTCCATAAAAAAACAAAATGCAAAGGGGGGGGGGGTTTGGCGTCATACGAAGGAAAGTGTGGCCATCCGTGTCCTTGAGACACTCTTTGCCTCTCACTTCTGCAGCTCTTAACGATTTTATTCAACTAATTATTTCAACAGCAGGTCACCGGAGTAGCTGTTTGCCCCATCAATCTGCTGCTAATTAAAACTAATTAAAACGTATCTTCAGAAACCTGGGGTGGGGTGGGGGGGTGGATGACCGGGGTTGGCCAACTCCTGGACAATAATTTTATTCACTTGAATGAACGAACGTCAGAAAAACAGGCTTTCTAGCGGCACGACCACACCGGGATCGTGTCACAGTGAGCGGCGGCCATGTGACGTCCCACCGCCAGCACTGTTGATTCGTCACGCAGCGCCAGTGTCACGCAGGGACAGGCAGGAGTGTCTTGCTGCCCGAGTCCATGGGAGCCTCACGCGTGTGGAGGGGGCCGTCCGAACAGTCTCTCTTAAAGATCCGGCACGCCACACATCCAGCAATTTACCTTTCAGCTAGCAACTGATGGCAAAAGAATGCAGGGTGAAGGAAGAAAGGAAGGGGCAGACTCTGGTACGCCAGACAGAGGCTGGGAAAAAAGCCATTGGTTTATGGAGCTTTCAAGGGGTCAGGAGACATGCTCCACCCACGAAGATCCCTATTGGTCAAAATCCCACATCCTGCCAGTTTAAATACAAGAACGACAGGTGATCAGTATATCTGTACACGTATTCATACCGAAAATTTTCAACATGGGTATCATTCAGTACGCATATGTACCGAACAAATGCAGCAAATGCAGAACCTTTGTGTGTTTGTGTGTCTTTCCTCTCGCGCAACATTCGGAAAGGGGAAGATTAAGCTGCACCACTACGCATGTGTGCGTACATCCCAATGTGAAGCTGGAAGCTGTTGTATGAATACAAGTACAGCACGGGTATTTTTTAAATGCTGCACCATGATGGATATTTATTTTTTTATGCTTTGTGTTTTTTGAGACAATATTTGTGTTGCATGCTTCTTATATGAAGATGAAAGCTGCTAATGTGAATACAGTACAGATCAGGTACAGTTAATTTTCTAAATGTGCACCTTAATGGATATTTATTTTTATTTACGTGAGAGAATATTTATTCTGATTTATTTAAATTTAATTTTTTTAATAGTAGGTTACAGCAGTATTGACAGAGACACAATTTATGTTTTGTTTCTTTTACCTCCGCTGTACCAAAAACATACCAAACCGTGACTTCAAAACAGAGGTACATGCCGAACCGTGTGTTTTGTGTACTGCTACACCCCTGGGGCCTGTACTACGAAGTGGGGTTACTGGCTTATCGGGGTAACTTGGCGGATTTAAGGTAGTCTGGGCAAAATGTAAGTGAATGAATATGAGGTCCATTTAAACTGTGGTACCTTAAATACGACAAGTTACCCCGATAAGCCAGTAACCCCACTTCGTACTACAGGCCACTGGTCATCATGGGGCTATGCAGGGTCATACTGGAGGCTAGACCACTATGTCAGGTACAGTGTCATGGGCAGTGCGTAGCTCTGTGGGACAAGGTGCCCATGATCAGTAGATTGTTGATTCAAATCCCATGACTGGCAGTGATGTTACAGTTGGGCCCTTGAGCAAGGCCCTTAAGTCCAATTGCTCCAGGGAAACCAGGGCACCCAGCTCTGAACCTGCATCGCAGAACCCAGCATCGCAGAACCCAGCATCGCAGAACCCAGCATCGCAGAACCCAGCATCGCAGAACCCAGCCTCTGACGGTAAGCACTCAGGTGGCGGGGATCGGCCTTTACTCACCGATGCCCAGGATGGTACACGACAGCGGTGATGCCATGACTGTAGTGTGTGGCGAAGCTGAAGCTGTGGTTCTCCTGGAAGCTCTGATTGGTTCCAACACTGAGAAAAAGAGAGGGACGGAATTTTAACACAATGAGAGATCAGCCAGTAGGAGGCAGAGCGGTTAAAGTCTATGGAATTCAAGGCAGCAGGACTTCTCCCTCTGTATGACATGTAAAAACTCCACACAAACTGCCCCGACCTCCCAGGGTGCGAGGGACACGTGAGAGGCAGCAGTGGCCCTTACTCTGGTGTCATCTGGATTTCTTTCTTCCATTTCTTTGCTTTCCCTGTTTTTGAATTATTCTATATAAATGATACAGGAATGTATCACAATACATCCATGTAAGGTCCCATGGGGGAAAAGGCGCTATATATTTAAATAAATTTTATTGAATAGCGGCACAACATAAACGCACTCACTGATGCTTCCTTAACGTTCAATGATCCCTGAACACACGCCTAAGCATTTAACAGCATGCAGACTCCGCTAATGCCGACTGAATAGTTCATTTTCAAATATACTGCTCAGTTTGCTTAGCAGACTATGTCTTTCATTCCAAATACACTGAAGAGCAAGCGTGGTCAAAGGGGATCGATAACGTTTCCCTATCGACGGGAACGGAGAGGGCATGCCGACCATAAGCTGGGTTTAGCGTTTCAGTCATTACGGGATTGACTTTTCACGTGGCGTTTTATTATGCCACTCCGGCCCAGATCCACCAATTGCAGCCTCACCACTGCTCACGTGCACATTGGCAGAAACTGAAGAATGACTGGAGTAGGGAAAGGCCCCAGTAACCCCAAAACGCTCACCGTGCAAGTGACACACGGGCCGGATGCCAAGACTCTCCAAGAATACATAATTAACCGTCACTAATTATTCTTTACCGGTTTGGCATAATTATACATTTTTAGAATTCTAAATTCCTATTTCACTTTCCATTGAATAATTATATGAACATTCTCAAATTTCTGTAATGCCTGATACAGAAAAAATAAAAATGAAAATAAAATAAAAAAAACCCAATCAAGAATCATAAGCTGTTAGCAAGTTGTATAAATGTGTAGAGCTTTCAAATCATTCGCTAATCTGCAAGTTAATACACATTGCCTGCCTCGTGTTGCTTTTCTAATAGGAATCGCTCAGAGAGGTCTTGGCCGGGCTCCAGTTTAATTACAGAGAATCACACGCAGAGAAAATAAAATGGAGACGATCTTCACGGCTGATGTTCTTACCCCATTCACGGTCGATTTGTGTGACATATTCAATCACGCCGGACATTATTGTCCTGGTGAGAAGGTGCGAGGAGGGATGCAGTGGAGACCTCAGCAGAGCCTTAATTGCCCATCTGAGTCGGCAAGGCTTGGGGCAGCACCCAGCAGATGCTGCTGCGAGTTTCTCAAATCAGTCGGCGTTTGTTATGAGCTAAGGATGCACAGCTGGTCCCGTTTAGCACAGAGCCGATGAAGGCACCAGCTAAGCTGAAACTGAGACCCAGCAAAGAACCAGGACAGGGATCCGACTTGCCGTTTCGCCTTCACTCTTGGCCTAGCGTTTTGGATTGCCTGCCATTTGCGCAAATTGTTCCTCTAAATGTAATTTTTAAAAACCACACCCGATCCTTTACATTTACCACAGCGCTGACACATTACCTTGTAAGCAGCGGGCTGCTCTCACCTGACCAGGTAACTCTTGAGGTGCCCCCTATAGGTGACGACGAGAAGCTCTGCAGACCACTGGGCACTACTGGTGTACTCCATAAAGATGAGCCCCGCCACCGCATAACTGAAATCTCCAGGGAAGCTGGCCGCCTGTGACAGACATTAAAGGTTAGCTCTCCTGGAAGAAATGATCAAGGGAGAACAGACCTAAAAGAAAGGCCTCGAAATCTGATCGGTTTTATTTGCAAGAAATGGAGACGTTTGATCAGTGTTATTATTTTTAATTCGTTCCATGTTTCTGAACAAACATTTGGTACGCTCCTCTGAAATTACGACTTGTGAATTAATGCTGGACAGCTGTGTACAGACATCGTGCTGAGCAAGCAAAACTGAGTATGTGTGCAGCGGAACGAGCTCTGGAGAGAGGGACACTAAGAGAACCCCATAATGGACAGCAGATAACAGACCCATAGGAGCAGGGGATTGTGGGAACATCTAGTCAGTTCTGCATACAGGAAGGAGGACAGCCCCTATTGGACAGAGGCTGAAGGTCAAAGGTGACCATGTCTTGGTATGCGTAGCACCACGTCTATGTGTGTCATCGTGATAACTGAATTGATTGGGTTACAGTACATGCACCTTAATTTATACTTTATTCTGTACTTCTTATCTGTGTTTTTGTGTTACTTTGTGATTAGTGGAAAAACGTAGAGTAAGACGTTTGTTGCATAATACAGCCGTTTGCTGTACTATGGCAAACTCGAATTTCGAATAAGTTCGTTGAAGCCTCTTCACCCTCATACATGACGCAGTAAGTGTGAGGAAAGTGGTGCTTCTGTGCAGCGTGCAAATACGGTTCACATCCCTCGTTTAGTGGATGAACAGGTAGGGCGTGGCGGTCGGCACACTCACAGGGGGAATGACAAAGAGTTCGCTGCCCATCAGGTCGAAGAGGCGCACAGTGCCGGTGCTGTCAGCGTATGCCAGCAGGGTGCAATCCTGGCTCCAGGCAACCCGTCTCCACAGTGGGCTGGGATCCTTAGGCACTGGGGGAGAGGGACATCTCACGACATCACATCTGTGCCCATACACCCAACCGTTGGCCCAGCATATGGAATACACTATTCCCGTGTTGGATTCACTCTCTCCCAGTCGGAACTCGGATAAAAACGTCACTTCCCGTCGGAAACATGCCTCCTGTCCGACTATGATGTCGGACAGAATTTTGTTTGCCAAGATTCCCCTGTGATGTCATTTCAACATGGTGGCTTACACAGTCAACAGTAATTCTATTTTGTAAATATTTAAAAATGTTTATTTTGTTAAATGTATTAATAGTTATAAATGTAATTGCATGTGGTCGATTTAGAGAATAACATATCATGACCATAAACAATATCCTAGCATGCTATATCAAATTTTTACCAGACTTGTTAGTGTCTATTGTTTGTTTCTAGATTGTTTGCCTCTCGAAAATCGCTATGGATCTACTAAAATATTATAAAGCTTTTAATTGGTTTGACTGGTTCGAGTTTCGTTGTTTTGTTTGTCTCTCAGAAAAAAGAATCTCACTCCAAATCTGCTAAAACGTAAAGCAACAACACACAACAGCGTGTTGATGGAGGCAGCCATGTTTGCTCCGAGATGTGTACCTCGAACAGGAGATTGGTCAGACGTGAGGCCTTGGAATTTACAACTTCGGAGAGATAATTCAACGCGTCATATTTAGCCTAGCTGCCAGTCTCTGGCCTGCAGAAGGAAATCAGTGTACGCAGAGTAAAGCTTTGAGAGAAGCATTAAACTCCACACGCACAGAGCGGAAGCGGAATCTGACCCCCACAACATCAAACGGCAAGGCGAGGGTACTACTGTGGTCCAGTATCAGCTGCATTATTTTCTTAATTATTCAGGTAGTGAGCCTTACTGGAAGTACGGCCATAAACCAGCCGCTAATTAGAAAGCTTCCGGAAACCCTCGACACCTCCGCCACATATCCATCCATCCATCCTTCTTACCCCGCAACAGGCACTAAATTCACAGCCGTCTGAGTCGCCGAAAATCCCAGGCCCGCAGGACCCAAAACGTCCCACCCCCATCGCCGGGAAGGGAGAAGATTGCGTGATGGGACTGCGGGTATCCTCAGCGAAGCAAACCTGGTAGCAGCCGGGCCGGAACGACGCCGTACAAGAAGATCAAAAGCTGCATACCTCAATAAGGCTAATTAAACAGCACTTAGAAACTACTGTTCCTAAAGTCCCGCTAGGCACATTCTCCATCTGTCACTTGTGCAATCTTACTACATTTTTTGGACCGGTGGAGGAGCAGCACTGTTTGTGTTCCAGCATCACACTGGACCTTTTAAGAGTTGTAATTAAATGACCCGATTTAACCTTCTTAAATAACCAACACAGCCGATTTGGGGTCCCAAAGACTAGCAGAGCTCCAAGAAAAGAGACAAGAAAAAATGAGATCATTCTGTCTGGCACAGAGTAGCCGGCCATGAATAAAGCAGGTATGGGATAAAGAGGAACCACTCAGTACTGGCTGTGTATGTATAGGAACCGCATTCCATTGTATTAATTAAAGAGCTGCAATCAGCACTATTAAGAAGCAAATACCCATCCCATTAAGGACCAGCTATCCAAGGGTGTAGAATGCGTGTGGGTGGTAGAGATATGCCACTACCAGTTGTGGAAATTTCAGGTTCAGAAAGTATAAATCCAGACCAAGATTTTGTTTCAACCAACCAGCTGAATATTCTGTGAGTGTGACTCTTTATATTCAACTGGTTGGTTGAAACAAAGTCTTAGTCTGGATTTTTACTTTCTGGACTTGAACAATCCACCTCTGGCCCCTACCAATACCATAGTGTATTTAGGAAGGCAGGAGGGTTGGGTCTGATTTGGCCCCTACCAAAGCTGAAACAAAACCTGCACCATTACAACGATCCATCCCACTGAGGAAAGCAGGAGAGCTGCCCACCTGTCACCTCCACGCACCTTTCACCTCAACTCTCTAATCAGGTCGTATTGAATCTCAATAAACTTTTGGCTGCTGATAGAACGTCACTATAACCCGAGTTAGTGACTTCCATGCTTATCCCAAACACCGATAGCTCCAAGAAGTAAATAAATAACACAAACAAAACAAATAAACACGAAAGAGCGAGAAGAGATGAAAAGAACGCGGGAATAAAAACCTTAATTACGAAAGTCCAGTTACCGTAGGCGTAGCAGCGCGCTAACAGATTACAACGGCAATTTATTAATTGTGAAGAGACTAACGCGAATTATGCGCCTTTGAAGGGAAACCCGACAGAAGCGCTGTAATGGATGAATGAGGGCGAGCTTTTCATTAAACTCGCCGCAGCGGTATTAACGCGAAAACGGCGCGGCTCCGGCGGCGAGCATCCGCACGCACGCGTCAGTCATGCGCGAGGGTTTCCATGGCGACGGCCTTATCGCTCCTGCTGCAGGGCAGAGCAAACGCCGGAGATCGTAAATCGCACGCGCGCAGTTTCTATTCAGCAACAACTTCTCGCAGACCCTCGGGGGAGTCCCTATTATTGGGAAATAATGTCCCTTTTAAATCACCGCCGCCAGAGTGACACGACGCCGTGTGACAGACACGCTCACAAAGCGGCACGGCCGCATTATGTCGTTCTTCCAGATTAATAAGCCAAAACTAAATAAACAATCCGCAGAGTAACGCGGGCTGACGTGTATGAATTTAACCTGGACGTTTTCGAGTCATAACATTTTTTTGTACTGCATTTACGTGATAGCATCCATCTGATATGTGGCCTGCTAGATCTTTGAGATGCATTTGGGTTCCTGTCTTACATCGGATGTCAAACTAAATTAGCAAAGAAATGCAAATCAAGAAATAGGTAACACAGCAGGAAAAAAAACACAGAAATCATTATGCAAAAAGAAAGCATAAACAGAGCTGGTATCCCATCTGATTTTTGGTGTAAACATAATAAACACAACAAAATACTTAAAGAGGACTGTACCATATAACAGTTTGGCCAAACCACAGATTTTCAATGTCTGCAGCCATCTAATGATGCAGGACGAAGCAGAAAATACAGTAACATACCCACTGTACACATAAATGGCTTCACAACATTTTCCCGTACTTAACATGCTTCAGTACAGCAACAATGCAATTCATGCCTAATTATAGAGAATGTTTGCTGTTATAATGAGTGACTAAGACACCTGATGAGACCAACCATAAGTAATGACTATAATTTAACAGAATTATGCTGCAATTTCCATAGTGACCCATTATTGTTATTCACATGCACAAGAAGTCTTTATTCCTTTCATTTTTAGCACAAATTTCATAAAGAAATGTGCTGTTAATAAAAGAGCAAGTAAACAAAAATCCAAACTCATTTCAAGCTAAAAGGAAACTTGCAGGACCTCTAAGGCTCCAATTAGTGCACAACAGCTTTATAAACATTTTTTATTAATTTAACATTGTTGTTATAACTCCCGGGTGAATAACTTAAATCCCCAGCTGTAACCCAAAGCACCATTCGGCATACTGTGAGTGGCCAGTTTAGATTAGAGCCTTTGGAATTGCAGGTCATACTTAAAGATCTTCTGGCTTACGTTATAAGCACCGTTGTAAGTCTCAGTCATAAAGAAAACTGAATGCAGTTTATTAAAAGAAACAGGGGTGAGTTTCCCGAAGCGTTCTTAACGCTACGTCGTTCTTAAGTTCTGTGTTAAAAGATAGAACTAACGAACGACGTAGCGTTAAGAAGGCTTCGGGAAACTCAGCCCAGAACAGTTTTATTTGTATGAAATTCTATTTTCGTTTTCAGACAGTTCTGGTGGCAGTAATCATGTAAAAATGAACCCATTAAACTGAAACAGTATCAAGGAATGCATAAAAAAATGAATCTGAAAGCAATACAAAAATATAGCTGACAAAAATTACATAATTTAATAAATCTCTATCTGATTATTGTGTCAGTTTGTTTTGGCTCAAGTGGAGTTTCTTTGTTAATTACCAGCACAAGATGACTCTGATTAACTTGGACCTGGTCAGCAGCAGCTTTCTAATTAATGATGTGTCAATAAGGCTCAAGAGCTAACGAGAAACATTATGCAGCACCTGCATCAGTCACTCTGCACTTTTTAAACCCTTCGCTGCCACCTGCACTGTAAGTGTTTAGCGACAATAGTGACATTCCAGAAAGCCACAATGTTGCTACTGTTTGTTAGCAACTATGAATCACATTTCAATTCTTTAGCGCAGTTTTTCTCAACCCAGTCCATGGAGACCCCCAGATGGTCCACGTTTTTGCACCCTCCACAATTTTGCTGTCTCCCAGCAAAAACATGGCTTGTTTGCTGATCCCCCAGGACTGCGTTAAGAAAGACTGCTTTAGAGATAGGATGACTGCACATTTTACATACATAAAGCACCATGACATATAACCAAAAATTTTGGTAACTTTACTTAAAGCACCCAAGCATAATGCATTATAGATACATTCATAATGCATTATAATGCAATCATAACATATTACAGACACAGCTATAGCAATCTATAATAATACATAACACATTATAGCCACGTTTATTGTGCAGTGGTCAGTATAAGCCATTATAATGCATTATGAAAGTATTTATAGTCCATTATAGATAAGAGCTTCGTAAATGAACACGACTATAATGTGTTATGACTTTTTATACATAGTTATAGCTGTGTCTGTAATACTTTACGAATGCATTATAATAACGCATTATACGTGAGTGCTTCAAGTAAAGTGTTACCAAAATTTCCAACTGCACAGTTTCAGGGATTGGATAGCTTACCTTGACATTTTCCTATGACAGAACCAAAGTCGTCTCTCGCTGACCTGGACATTAATCACAATGACAGATAGTTAGATGACCAGATATTTCAACATGGCAGCTCTCTCTTTAATGTGTTAAAATGCCTTCATATTAAAAGAATATATCTGGCCTGTATTACGCGCCGGCCTTCAGGGTCATTTCAGTGAGAGCCACACTTCTGAATCGATTAGCTGCTTAGTCGATTTTCCATTCACGGCCACTCGCACAAATCGCTATTAACCCCCTCTATCTGCGCACTGCATTCAGCTAGATATGGTCCCAGAGCCACTGAATTAAATCCCTTTTGATGGTACAACAGCAGAACCGCTTCAGAGACTTCAAATGGCGGAACTCCAGCTGCAGATGTGCAGCCGCTTCACCGCCCGCTGTGCCGTACTTCATGTGGCCGGCTTAATTCTCGGTGAAAGGCGGATGATTGCGTGGTTGCTGTCTCTAGGCTTAATTTACCGTTTGACTTACCTTAACCCCGACTGCAGCTTTACGGAGTAACGGTAACACGTGAGGTAATTACCCGGGCTTTGATATCAGTGCTTGCTCAGCCCTCGGTGGCTTTCTAATTCATCTACGCGCTGCACGAATACTGAGAAGGATGAGCACCTCCACTGCCATAAAAAACAGGACATTATGCTGAGGAGGGTGAAAAGGGAGTTTCTAAAAGAAAAAATAAATAAATAAAAAAGCCCTACCAATGTGCCTGTCCGTAACTAAATCTAAAAAAGGGGTTGGCATCTGACTATGTGGACAGGCTGTGAAATCACAATCATTGCCAAAATGTTTGTGTGTATATATATATAACATTGTGGGGTCCGAATGTCCCCCCCAGTGTCAAATAAAAAAAACCTGTTACATTGACCTTGTGGGCATATTTTTGGTCCCAATAAGGGGAAACTCAATTTTATAAAAATTTGTGAATGCAGTCAAAAAACTAAAAATGTAAAAAGTCTTGTATTTCCTTTGGTTACTTACGGTTAAGGGTAGGGCTGGGTAGGGATTAAGGTTGTCATAGTTAGGATTAGGGTTATGCCCAAAGAAAAAATGAACGGAGAATCTCCACAAAGATGTAGACATGTAGTGTGTGTGTGCTTTTGGACAATGACTAAGACACAACACAAAAACTGAGAGCTTATCATTTTTTGGACTTTGTGAAAACATCCTGAATGGCCCAAGGCTACATAAAGCAGTCAATTCCACTCTAATATCAATATGACAGGTAAACAGCACAGGAAAAGGCATTAATACCTGATTTCTATACACTGGTCTTGAAGAACTGCTAGCAGTTTCCCATTACTGTACAACAGAGAAAACAAATACAGACATTAACTCAGCGTGCTCATAAGTTCAGTATCTGAAATGAAAGTGTAATTCAGAATCAATATACAATTACAAAGAAATGGTTCTAAACCTCAGTACAAAATACTAAAAAAGACTGTAAAAATAAAAGACTGATTAAACTCTGCCCATTACCTTGCCAGGACCAGCTGCCAGTTAATCTGTTTGCTTGCAAGTCTAATAAGTCCCTGGGGCAGAGAGGAGCTGGACGGCCTGCATAGAGAAACATTTGTCCATTTTAATGAAAACAGGCCAAGTCAGGACAATGTAAAAATAAATAGACACCTCAGAATATCCATCAAAGCTATGTCCTTGTTGCAGTGAGCTCATGGGAGTTTGACTTACACAAAATGTTCTGAGGGCAGAACGAAAAATGATTGGTTCAGAGAAATAACCAATCAGATTGTAGAGGAGGTGGGTCCAAACAACTAGAGGAGGCAGGGCCAACCAATAAGATGCCTTGGTCCAGCCTGGACTAGTTGCTTGGACCAGCCACCTCCACAATGATTGGCTTCTGCCCTCAAGACATTTTTGTGAAAATCAAACTCACACAAGCTCCCAGCAACAGTACCTCAAAAAGAAAGATACTGTAGCATGTGATACACACTCATCTTTCTCTACTTGATGAAATTACCTACCATTTATATTATATAAGTTAACTAACATGCTTAAAACACAACAAAAAGGCATTATAAAATAGTACTTAATTACATGTTAAATATCTAAAACTATACATCTCATTACTGACATTAAAAGAATGTTTTTCATAGACAACATATAAACTAAATAATTTTCTAAACACAAAGCCTGGCTCCTCAGTTTTTATTGCCAGCAGTAACATAGTCACCACCCAGCAATGTTTGGATTTTGGTTGCACCCTCTTTCATCTCTCTCTCTTTTAATCAATTTTTATCAGCGGGACTCTGGAAACAAACGGACCGTGTTACTTTAAATGAAGACAAGAAGACAGTACAAAAACCCCATTACACTGCGCTTGTAGCGCATACCATAAGCGTCAGGATTCCTAACAGGTCCCTAAATGTTCAGAGGAAATTAAGGTATTACTCACCTGTACCAGAGGTAGTGAAGGAGCAACCTAAATGGCCCTAAACGTTAAACAGACAACGAGTTCATTTAATTTATATAAAAAAGACTAATTTCATAATGGCACACAGAAAAATAAGGCATTAAAAAGTCATCAAGCTGAACACAGTGTAAAATGTGAGGAGCATTTAACGTCTGTCAGGTCATTCATATTTTCTTCATATTAGGGCATATTTAACAAAAGAGAGATAAACATCATCAGACTGACAGAGGCGGGCATTTTTTTTTTTTTTTTTTTAAGTTTGCCATTTCAATGGAGGTTGTTAAATCTCGGAGGACGACAACCTCCTAATCTGATCTATCACCTCTTTTTGTGACCGTCCTGTATTTGAAAATGCAAAAAATATCCGTTGTGTTACAAAACTGACTGGCTTAACGAATCACCGAGTCAAGGTTGGAATAAGTCTAAAGTTAACACTTTACTTGAGGGGACACAAATAAGGTAGTATTAAGCTATTACTTATGTATCAATTAACCTCAAATTAAATCTTAGTTACGTACTGATCTCATGTTCGTTCATCATTAATGAATCGTGACGTCTTTCTTAAGTCATTGCTATATCTGTTAATTGCGTAAACCTTTATGAACCACTGAATGAACACGATTACCGCCTTCAAAGGCAAATCTGACAAAGAGCGCATCCCTCTTACCAGTCACTGCCTTTGCAAGAACAGACGTGTTGTGCTCCTTGTTTCCTCTAAGCTGCAAAATAAACAGAAGATTGTAACAAGAACCGCGATTACTACTAACACGACTATTACTAATAACAACCAGTATCACCTATTATAAATGACGAATGGCATCATTTATTTAGTTTAATAAGCGAACGACCGACAGCCAACAGGACAATACCAATAAAGAGGATATTCCAGTAATACTTTAATTTAACAGTTCAGTATCTATGGGTATGCACAATACTCTAAAAATCTGTAAGAAGTAGCAGAAGCAGTAAGGCTTAATTCATACATCCAATTACATCGTTGGTGTTATAAATGGTAGTATCAATAACTGTTTTGAATAAGATTAAATTAGAGCCTATAGCACGTAAAATGGGCAAGGGGCTGATTCTCGTTACTGTCAATACCAAAGGGCCAGGTATGGTCATTAGTTAGTTAGTACTTTATGCTACGTGGCTGTTGCCGCTCAGCTAGCTTAGGGCAGCCGCTGGAGCTGCCATCTATAAGCAGGCATCAGTACATGAGTGACACTATTTAACAATTTGCCAAAATCCAATTAACTACAGGACTGCAACAAACCTGAGTGTCGGTCTCTGGTGGCCATTCCGTATTTATTAGTAAATCATACAAAATGTTCTCCTCTTCACTTTCTAAAACGCTGTCAGCAGCCATGTTTTCGTCCTACGCGAAAGGCTGCAACACAAGATCTACGGTGTCCCGGAAGGCGCAAAACCCATGTATTATCAATTCGCAAGTTCTCCCAAGAAGACCCGTGAGTCCATTAAGCAAACAACACGTTTCCACTGTAACATAAAACAGCACACTTAAGAAATCATCGATGCAGATTTTAATGGCATTAAAAAGTTTAGGAGTACAAGATGCATGAACAAATGAAGTCGGACAGAGGATCCATAAGGAAAAGGAACCGGCTTCCTCCGGTCATTATAAAGTGTTGCACTCTGTCAAACTCCCTGGCATTGCGTCTGCTTGGTTAGAGTGTCTGATTATGGCGGTGTTCGGGGGTAAGATGTTTGGAATTCAACCTTTAAATAAGTCACATTTAACGACTGTTGTTTAGAATTATTATTCCTGATATATTTAAACTACATGTTTTTGTTAACGAAAGCTTGTTCTGCTTCTATCCAGAAATGGGCGTAATGCCCGAGATTGCGCAGGCTGTGGAGGAGATGGACTGGCTGTAAGTATGCATTTACTCACAGGAGGTGGCTACTGAATCACTTAGCATTTGATGAAATGTTAGAGAAGATAAACCCCGATTATCATGTAAAACCATACGTGCTGGATCACAAAAGTTTTCACCAAGCATGTTCATATAGATGGTTATGGTTAAACCGATATAGACCGCAAGGGATACGTAGCATCGGCCATATAGATAAGCATTATTCCTTGCAGTAAAGAAAATATGTAAGTTAATCCATACATGTAAAGTTAAAGTAACCATAAGTCACCATAGAGTCATTAATTGGCTTACTGTCTACAGGCTTCCCACAGATATTCAGGCAGAGTCCGTACCACTCATCTTGGGGGGTGGAGATGTGCTCATGGTGAGTTTTTACAAAGATCACTTTACGGTTATACAGTGTAGTGTGTATATATGTATATATGTATGTATGTATATATGTCACACATACTACCGTTCAAACGTTTGGGGTCATTTAGAAATTTCCTTGTTTTCCATGAAAACATGCATGAAACAAATAGGAAATATAACTAAATAGGAAACAGTCATTGCCAAAGTTAGAAATAATCATTTTTGAAATAAAAACTTTGCTTTTGTCAAAGAGACCTCCATTTGCCGAGGTTCAGCCTTGTAGACCTTGGGCATTCTATATGTCAGTTTGCTGAAGTACTCTGACGAGATTTCACCCCGTGCTTCCTGAAGCATCTCCCACAAGCTGGATTGGCTTGGTGGGCATTTCTTACGTACAATTTGGTCAAGTTGCTCCCACAAGCAGCTCAATAGAGATCCAGTGACTGTGCTGGCCACTCCATTATACACAGAATACCAGCTGATTGCTCTTTCCCTAAATAGTATGTGCATAGTTTGAAGCTGTGTTTGGGTCATTATCCTGTGGTAGGATATGTGCATAGTTTGAAGCTGTGTTTGGGTCATTATCCTGTGGTAGAATGAAACTGGCACCAATTAAGCACCGTACACAGGGTATGGCATGGAGTTGCAAAATGGAGTGACAGTCTTCCTTCTTCAAGATCCCTTTTACCCAATACAAATCTCCCAGTTTACCATCACCAATGCAGCCCCAGACCATCATATTGCCTCCACCATGCTTGACAGATGTCGTCAAGCAATCCTCCAGTGTCTTTTCAATTGATTTGCATCTCACAAAATTTCTTTGTAATCCAAACACCACAATTTAAATTTGTCTATCCATAGCATTTTTTTCCATCTTCCTTTGTCCATCTCAGTCTTTACTTTTTATTGGCCATTCTGAGATACGGCTTTTTCTTTGCAATTCTGAAAGACCAGCATCCCGGAGTTGCCTCTTCACTGTTGATGTTGGGACTGGTCTTTTGCAGGTACTATTTAATGAAGCTGCCAGTTTAAGACCTATGATACGTCTAATTTTCCATCTACACACTCTAATGTATTTATCCTCTCGCCTAGTTGTGCACCAGGGCCTCCCTCTCCTCTTTCTGTTTTGGTTAGATACAGTTTGGAGGCCCTCTCCTCTTTCTGTTGTGGTTAGATACAGTTTGGAGGCCCTCTCCTCTTTCTGTTTTGGTTAGATACAGTTTGCACTGCTTTGTGAAGGGAGTAATACACAGCACTGTATGAGATCTTCAGTTTCCTGCCAATTTCTTGTATGGAATAGCCTTCATTTCTCAGAACAACAAGAGACTGAGGAGTTTCAGAAGAAAGTTCTTTTGTTTGTGACCATTTTGAGCTTGAAATCGAACTCACAATTGCTGATGCTCCAGAAACTGAACTAGTCCAAAGAAGGCCAGTTTTATTGGTTCTTTAATCAGTACAACAATTTTCATCTGTGCTAATATACCTGCAATGGAGCTTTCTAAAGATCAATGAACCTTTTAAAATGATAAACTTGCATTAGCAAACACAACATTCCACTGGAACACAGGACTAATTGTTGCTGATAATGGACCTAGACATTCCATTAAAAAGCAGCCGTTTCCAGCTATTAATAGTTGTTTACAACATTAACAATGCCTACACTGTATTTCTGATCAATCTGATGTTGTTTTAATGGACAAAAAACTTTTTTCCCCCAAAAGCAATGAAATTTGTAAGTGACCCCAAACTTTTGAACAGTGGTTTTTATATCATTTATATATATATATATATATATATATATATATGAAATATATGAAATGGCTGAGTTTCCATTAGGGAGAGGTTTGGGAACCAAAGATATCAGTAACTTTTTAGACGGCAGAAGAAATTCTTGTTTATTTTTTAATGTGTTACTTTAGCTTTAAATTGTGCATTTTTTTATACATTTGCTTTGACTGTATATAGTCAAATATACATGCATTCATCCCTGACTTCCTGATTTGTTTGTGTTCTTAGGCTGCAGAGACCGGTAGTGGGAAAACAGGAGTAAGTACAAACGATTCATTCTAAGTATTTTCACTACCATGAAATAATTATAAACTGTTTAAGCGCCATAGTACCACCATTGTACCTATGGGCATTTAGCTTTGTGCATTACATATTACATGAGCGTAATTGTTTGTAGGTGTGTATGTTTAGCTGAATTTCTTTGGCAAACCTCATTATATTCGCATCTCTTTTAGCATTTAGTGACCTAGACGTCACTGAGGTTTAATAACTGCCTCCTCTTCTCCCAAAGTGCTTCACCTTCAGTACTTCGCTTTCTTTTTAAAAAGGCCTTCAGCATTCCTGTGATACAGATTGTGTACGAGACCCTGAAGGACCAGCAGGAGGGCAAGAAGGGAAAAGCGACGGTAAAGACAGGAGGCTCCGGTATGTGTCGCTGTAGCGTATGTCTGCACCGCCTCAGAATGGCATGAAGATCTTCTGTCAGTTAGAGTAAAAACATACCTCTGCCATTTCCAGTGCTGACCAAGTGGCAGATGAACCCTTATGACAGAAGCCCAGCTTTTGGTAAGTACTTTAGCAGAAAGAAAAATCACATCAGGAACAATATAATCTCTAAAATAAGCTTCCCATTACTATGTTATTTTAAATTAGACACCTAAGTCTTAATTGTGTGAGTGTGACCTTCTGGATAAGAACAGGAATGTCAAGGGACAAAAATATTCCTTATTACTTTAACCTACTGAATGAACTTCGGAACATTAATTGACTACTTAAATTAACTTCGGTGCTTTAGTACTTAATTTGACCAGCTGTTCCCTAGTTAACCCGCTGCTGCACCAGCACGCTGCAAATTCGCAAGGCGGTGGCTGTTCCTCCCAGATGTCTTTTCGAAGCCTCTGTCCTTGACTTGCCTTGCAGCGATCAGCGCAGACGGCTTGTGCTGCCAGAGCCGAGAGGTGAAGGAGTGGCACGGCTGCCGCACGACCAGGGCCGTCACCAAGGGTATGGGAAGCGGAACCTAGAAATGTCTATTGCGGTGTTTCCCCATCCGGTTCTGGGGAACCTACAGACAGTACGCGCTTTTGGCAGAAACGTGGACTGTCTGGCAGGGAGCAGAAACGTGGACCATTTGCGGGTCCCAGAGGACCGGGTTGGTAAACACTGGTCTACTGCATGGGCCCTTTGCTGTATTCTGCCCAGCAGGGGGAGCTCTTGCATTTTTGCTGAGTGGTGTCTGTATATAGCAGGGCTATTCGAATCACGGTCCTCGAGGTCCGAGTACTGCTGGTTTTCCAGCCTTCCTTTACCCGTGAGACAGGTGTGAAGCCTCTGTGACCAATCAGAATTAGTAATTATTTAACTAACTACCTGGGAGAACTGAAAAAAAGGCCTGGATTTGGAATCGAGGTCCAGATTTGAAGAGCCCTGGTATATAGCATCTCAAGCAAAGAACTGAAGTGTATGTTAAGAACTGTCTTTACCAGGACTTGTTAATTATGATAAAGTACCTTTCTTATGGGAACAGAATTAGTCCCTTGTTGGAATGTGAGGCTCCATTCCCAGTTTTAGTTTCTCTGAATGCAGCAGGAAAATCAGCGTAACATTTGACTAAAAGTGTCCCTCGTCCCAACAGGGAAGTACTACTATGAAGTCTCCTGTCATGACCAAGGTCTCTGTCGGGTGGGCTGGTCCACTGGACAGGCTTCTCTGGATTTGGGTGAGCTTCTGAAAAGGTCGCAGCATTATTCACTGTTTGAGGGATGTGCCCCCATGTCGATCTGTTAACTCTCGCGCCCATTTTCATCATTATTGGCATCTTCGCCGCCAGGCACTGACCGGAACGGATTTGGATTTGGAGGAACTGGGAAGAAATCCCATAACAAACAGTTTGACAGCTATGGAGAGGTAGGCGTTCACTTCACTTGTCAGTGTCTCAAAATGATTTTTCACTGAAACTCAAATCATTATCGGTGATGTTTTTTGTTTCCTGCAGGAATTCACTATGCATGATGTCATAGGTTGCTACTTGGACCTCGACAACGGACATGTTTCATTTTCCAAAAATGGTGCGTGAAGCTTATTAGTTTGCGTTTTACAGATGAATTCCACTTTCCTGAGAATCTTCTGCTAGCTTGACTGCATCGTGATGGTTTTCGCCT